AGGGATCAGGGGGAAAATAACAATTATAAAAATAGAACAAAACTAAAGTGATCAGACAACTGTAAATAAGAGACATTTTGCTGGGGAAGGAAAGGGTATAAAACACGGTGGGAAGAACACAAGGGACTAAAGTGACTAGTGCAAGGGTGAATTGGTTGTGGGAATTCTATGGGACTACACCTGATGTAAAATATATACAAATAAATATATTTTTAAAATTCATCAAATAATGTGTGTAGAGCCATTAATCACATTAAGATTTTCAGCCATTATTATTTATACTCGTTAATATTGTATTGTATTGTACATGTAATATATGTAATGTCAGACCTATATATAAAAATAATTAGATGCCATACAGTAAGATATATTTTTTGTAAGTTGGATAGATATGCCCCCTGCAGCCTCAAGTAAAATTAGTACTTTGTTTTTTTAATCTAGTGCACATTGATTTCACTAACATTCATAGGTATTACAGGAACCTAGGTAACTGCAGAAATCTAGGTACTGCAGAATCCAGGTAGGCAAGGTAGGGCACAGTCCCTATCTTGTGTTGTGGAGTGCCCTCAACACTCCTGTAATTTTTGAATTGAATTTAGGACTGCTTTGATAACAATATTAATGTAATGGTTTAGATTTCAGACTCTGAAGCTATGCTTCATCAGTTAGGATTTGGCCTCCCCATATTCATGTTACTGGACAAATTAATTTGATCTCCATGTTCTCCATTTTTCTCTAAAAAATGGGAATCATATTATTGTTATCTTCCTCATGATTCTTAAAGCACATAAATGAACTATATTTGTAAAGCATTTAAAATAATGTTTGGTACGTGATCAGCACAGTGCAGATGTTAAATAAAAACCATGATGTATCGTGTCTGACTTTTGCAGTTTTTGTGTTTCGAAGAGCATCTTTTCATCTCTTGCCAAATGTAAGTCCTCACATTCCTGGACTATATTATGGTGAGATTGCTTTACATATGCTGCTGTGCAGCTTTATCAACCAAGAGAAACTATAGCTCAGCCAGTCTGACTTTATCACTAATTCCAATTAATAAAGTATAATAGTAGGGTCTCCCTGGTGGCCTAGGGAGTCTCACCAGTGGCCAGAGCTTACCCACATGACACAGCACATGACACAGCAGACCTCTCTATCCCACTTCTCCCCTCAGTAGTGTGTTTCAGTAGGTCCACTTGTTCTCTCCCCACTCTGTCGCTGGTGAACCCTCTCACCACCTGTCATCTCTAACCCAAAGTTTTATACATACATACATACACACTAAATACATACATATGTCTTTTTTTAAATAAAATACAACCTGGGTTCTCCGGGTTCTCCTTGGTGGCACAACTGGTTAAGCACAGCAATATGAAGCTACCTGCAGCCACTGTTGCATGAGTTCTGTTCCCCAGCCAGGGAACTGACCCACGTAGTGCAGCAGACCTTTCCTGACCCACCCACGACACCCCTTAGCAGTGTACTTCGCCAGTCTGCCTGTTCTGTTCCCCCCTCTGTCTCTGATGAATCCTCTCACTGCCCCTGCAGTCTATACCCCAGTTCTATATGCATAAATAAATAATTTTTTTAAAGTATAACCTTAGGAATCTAACATTTAGTGCAAGTCCACATGTACTGCAACATTAATAAACATAACTGTTGAATTTACATCTTTTTAGTTAATCAGCTATATGGAATGTTAAAGTATCTTCTCTTTTTAATCAAAACAAGGAGTAGACTTCCTGTTGTGACTAAATATACTATATAGAAATAAGAGTCATAGAAACAGTAATATAAAGTAGCTTTTTTACTCATGTACAGTAAAGTAAACCCAAGTTGAAGTGATATTTCACTGCTTTGGCTCTAGTTTTAATGTGATCTTAATTTTATTACTGATTTTACTTTGTATATTAAACTATCCTTGGCTGATAAGGTTGGGAGAAAACTGAGTATATTTTAAACCAGTTTAAAATTATTTAATATTTTTTAAACCAAAAAATTATCAGGCTCAAATACCTTTTAACTCATGCTCAAATTTTATGCTCAAATAATTTTTTTAATTTAGTGTATGATTTCAACCTACTTTGGAAAATCTGTTTCTTAAAGGAAACCAGTATTGTTGGCCACACAAGAAACTTCTTGTGGTAGGTCATTTAGTTTCTCTTCTTCTCACCATTTTATTATACTCTTGAACCTGTCCTTGGACTGTGATCTTGTACCAAACTACTTGAGCTGTGTTCCAGCACATTTTGAACTTTCAACTTTATCGTGCTTCTTAGGAAGCAAAGCACTCTTAAACATACCAGTGTGTCCTTTACATACTTTGTACTTCATAGTGAGATCAAGATTTAAGTCACAAATGACAACAGATCAACTAACATGCTCACCAATTTCCAAAGCTTGAAGTCTACAAGGACCAAAGTTTTATGGGTTCTGTTTTATAAGTGACTCTTAAAAATAGTTTTTTTTTTAACATTAGGTACTTTTTTCTACGCCTATGGGAGGATCTTGGGGAGGATATAGAATACTTGGATTATTTAATTTCTTGTTACAATAATATGTTAGAAATGTGTACATTGAGACTACTTTCTCATAGTGATTTAGATTGCCTACATAGTGGTAGAGAAACAGCTTTTGTGAACTTTGGGCCTATTATAGATATTTTTTTTCCCAGCAGGCTACTTTGTATAATGACAGTAGAGATGATAAGAGCTGCCACTTCATGAACACATGCTGGGTATCAAGTGTTTAATTCTCTATTTCGCCATCCATCTCGATTTATAATCCAGAAACTGAGTCTCAGCCCTTGCATCCACAGTTCTCTGTTGAAGTATTATAATTACAGCAGACATCATTACTGGAATTAATAGTAAATGAAATTTGGCATTGCTTATTACCATGAACAAGATAATAATAAGAGCTTTTTTAGAGAATATTATTTTACCATCAGACTGGTCTTGTGGATATTTGGAAATTGATAGACTTTTAAAAGTAATACACGGAATAAATTTAATTATAATCAAAATCTTTGTTGATTGTGTTAGCTGCTTTCATGTTGAATTGTTGAGGCATTCCTCTTTAATGTAAGTGGTGCTCTTCCATTAATGGGTTATTTGAATCTTTGTTATATGTTTACCTCAGGGGTCAGTGAATTCTATGGCCTGTGAGACAAATCTCTCCCACCACCTGTTTTTGTAAATAAAGGTTCATTGGAACATACCCACACTTACTTGTGTGTAAAAGCCAAAAATATTTATTATCTGACTCTACATAGAAAAATTTCCAACCTCTACTGTACTTCATTCAACAAAAGATTTGAAGGAATCAAATATAATACATAATCCCAAAGACATGAAACCTTATAATTTCCAACTTATATATATCCTTTATGAGAAGAGATTGGAAAAGAAGTTAAAAAAATGGGGTGGTTAGGTTAATACAATGTTTCTTTGAGTATATTACACTAATTTGAGCTAAGGTCCTGGTAGTTGTGTGTAATGCTACCCAAATGATTGTGTGTGTTTTAGTGTCATTTCTTTCTTCTTTTGACAAGTAGTTTTTTTTTCTATCCCATTAACAGAATAATAAAGCAGATACAAGAAAGACTTTTTAATTTGCAGAGAAACAAAATGTAGTGATATGTGAGTTTTTGTTTACCTTCTCTGCCCAAGAGGAGCAAGTGCTCATCAAGTTTCCAATTAGATGGTTATCTGATCCTTTTCAAAGTAATGTCTGTCCATTCCCTCTGTTGAAATGAGTTAAGTGCAGGTCCCCTTGACGCACTCAGGTTTCACTAGCCTTGGGATCTTGAGTCTACTCTTAATTCTAGGTTCATAATTGATACTGAGGAGCATTTCCCATATTACACAGATGAAAATAATGAAGGTGTTAGAGTAACTTTTGTAGAGATAACAGAAGTGTACCTTGAGACTAATTATGCATTATTGACGTTTTGCATGATACTACATGTAAAAAGAGATTTGGATTTAGAAAATATAAAATTTTTTAGAAATTATAGAATTTTTCTTGGTTTTTATGTTCCTATGGTAAGCAACAGAAATAAGCATAGCTTGTTTTTGTCATTTGGCAGGAATTATTGCCATGCTGTGGCACTTTCTTATACATAGATGGGTTATCACTTCAGTGGTACACAATTTTCCAGCAAGCCTTAATTTACTGACAGCTTGTTCCTATTTGATGTTTAGGTAGTAAATTGAGCTAAGTTAACTATCTTACATGTATCTGAAATATAGTTATAAAATGTGAATAAATATTACTATAGGTTGTAAATGTAGAATAAACCTAGTTCCCCCAAAGATGCAAATTAACTTAAACCCAGCAAGTTTTAATTAATTAGAATACCCCAAAATGCCAGTGTTCTTGGTGAAAATACTCTAGGAATATGCATGGAGAAAATGTAGCATTCTTTTAAAAAATATGTACATACACAAACACCATTGAAGATTAATGAAATTTCTAAATGATAACACAAATCATCAAAATGATAAACTTATGAATTTCTTAGTAAAAATTGAGATGTTATTTCCTGCTTTGGTTTTTTTCAGTTAGTAGCAAATATATTTCTAAAAGGTTTTCAAAATTTAAGTGTACATGTCAGGAAAAGAAAAAGACTCTCTTCAACTATAATAACATAATGCTTTTTGTTATTCAGTCATACTGATCCTAACTCTAGAGTATGTGATTGGTATGAAACATTCCCCTGTAGTGGGAAGAATATGAATGCTCTCTGGTTTTCTGTTTGTTTTGGTTTTGCTTTGGGAATATTATTCAAATTTTGAGGTTGCTTTTTTATTGTACAGTTCTACAAATTATAGTCATAAAATACCACGTATATAGTTACTACCATGATTATTATTTATAACAGCAGTTTCTTCTCTCAAGTAGTGAAGGGGGTTATGATAGTATTGATGATAAAGCTTTCACATTATTAAAATTAGATAATTTTAAATAAATTTTTGTTGGGGGGTGTTTTGATACAGACAGCTTTATTAAACCGCCTGGAGAGAATTTTTGAAGCATGTTTTCCTTCCATATTTGTTCCTGATACTGAAGAGGAAGTTTCTTCCCTAAAGCACTTGCTGGAAAAGAGCACTTTGCAAATAAAAACAAAAGAGGCCTTAGCTGAAAGTGGGTAAGTAGTGGACAGTTTTTAAATGACGTGTTCTAATTTATAAAGTTACCTAAACACATTAGTTTCTAAAACATTATTATAGTAAGGTTTTAAAAATCATGTACTAAAAAGACATTAAAAACTCAGCTTTTAAATCATGTACTAAAAGACATTAAAAACTCTGTTTTTCAGCTTTTCCTTGGACTTAATAATTGCCTTTGTCCTTAATGTACTGTCTTTCCCTACCCTGTTCTTCCCAATAGCCTGTTAATAGAATTTTCCTTACAATTGAAAGTTACCAGGCTGGCCATTCCATTTTTATTCCAGAGACTCATCTTCCTATTCTAACCTGGAATCAATTCATGCTAGGCCTCTTACACATATGTTGTCTTAAGACGTCCATTCACTTAGATCCCATTCTGTAGAAGCAGACCTTTTAATGGTCTCCTGAGAGAAAAAGCACATGGGCGGTAAACTTTAACTCTTATATTTAGGATCTTTTGTTGGTGATATTCTGAAATTTCAAAATGAAGTATCTTGTGTATGGTTCTTTTTTTTATTCATTGAACTGAACTGAGCACTAGGGCTGGACTTTAATCTGGCAACTTTTCTTAAATATTGTACATTTCAGTTTGTTTAAGCAACAACCTTCCCTCCATTGTGTGTTTTTCAAAAACTCTTACTAGTTACTGGATGTTAGAGGATATGGATTGATTTTCTAATTTTAATTTCAAAGATATTCTTATTCTTGGACTACTTTATTGCATTTCATTACACTCCATCTCTACCGGCATTCTTTTCCCTCAGCAGATCCCTTCTTCCATTCAGCTAAGTCAGCACATGTCCTTTATCCTACTTTGTGATGCTAGTATTTGTGATACAGGGTTTTAACTGCCTTCTACTTTCATTAAAAATCGAGATTGTTTTAGCTTCCTGATTTTTATTTTGGGAAACTATCTGAAAAAAGAGGAGACAAAAATGTTTATTTTTCACTGTCTTAAAACCATTTTAAAACTATATGGTAATTATACAGATATTCTCAGTTCATATTGTCAGACCCAGTAATCTCTCTCCAAGATATTTGTTCTATGGAAATAATATTATTCTATAGCAAAACAAACCATAAAATACAGGAGCACAACCATTGTCGCACTAACAAGTAGGACCCGTATAGTAAAAACTATTTAAATCTATGGGATTGTGGCCAAATAAATGATGGTACATCAATCTAGTAGAATATTAACACAGCTATGGAAAAGAATACATTGAAGATTAGGAAATGTTTAAAATCTGAAAAAAATACAAATTTTATGTATGTTCTAATCACAACTTTCTGTGGATTAAGACTCAAGGAAAAAACTCAAACACTGAGTAGCTGTAGTAAAATGGTAGGTAGAATGGTGACTGATTACATTCCTCCTTTTTAAACGTTTTTGTTTTAAAATAAAAAGTAGAAGCTAAATTTTTGCTTGATTACTGTCAATATTGTTTCAAATGCATTTAACTTAGTTATTTTTCTGATGGTAAGTATTGATCATAAATTTTATTTCAAGGTAATAGTTTGACATAAGATGATTAATTGACATGTGTATTTCACAGTTGTATTCAAAGTAGAACTCAAAAATAAATAAAAATAGAATTCTTGGTGAAAACTATTGAGAAACGTCATTGGTAACTTCATCATGGTCTTTACAGGGAACTGCTGGATGTATGGACCGAGCTACAGGATATCCACGATGCACATGGTTTACAGTATCAGTGGGGTGGCTCCCATAGCAACAAGAAGCTTTTGTGCTCCTTGGGAATAGACACCCGAAACATTGTGAGTTTGTTAGTACCTTGGAAATTTCTTTAATCAATCGCTGGGTATTTTTAAATTCTGTTACATTCTGTTAAAACTGTGATAAGCTTATTCCTTGGCTAAACAAATATTGGTTGGTTTAAATGTTAGCATATTTTGTAAACCCAGGAAGAAAAGGAAAAATACCGGATGGTTTCACTCATAGCAGGACCCGGGGAGAAAATAATAAGAATAATGAGCAACTATAAACCAGAGACAGTTTATGGGGATGGAGTGGGGAATGGGATCAAAAATGGGGGTGGGGGAGAGGTGACTGGACAATGGTGATGGCACACGAATGAATTGGTGGTGGGAAGCCCACGGGGATCACAACTGAGATAGAAAAAGGCAGAAAATGATGTGAAAATAAATTATTATATTATTTTTGAAAAGTTAAAGTAACATTTAGGTGTTTTTTTTTAAAAAGTTGGCATATTTTGAATATACCAACTTTTTAAACATTATCCAACTAGTTCTCTAATCAATATTTCTTATGTGTACTCATTTATGCATACAAGAACTGTGGTGTAGTCCAGAGGGGTGAGAGCATGCACCAGTGACTGAGTGGGGAGCACAACAGCAGATTGACTGAAGGGCACTGCTGGGGCTCCCCTCAGCAGTGGGGAACACACTGCTGCCCCCTGTGAGTCAGCTCCCTTACCAGGGATCAAAGTCCTATGGCAGTAGCTGGTGATAGCTTGACAGCACTGAGACTTTAACCCCTATACCACCAGCAAGGCCCAATACTTCTTATTTTTCAGAAAACATTTAGTGTTTTCTTTATTGAAAGAATTAGTAAAGTCCAGGGTAAAGGAATTGGATTAGGAAATCAAAAATATAACTTCACATGGGCAATTTGACAACTTCTTTAGTTTATCATTTACAATGCATATAGTAAAGCATCACAAACTTATTTTGAAAACTCTTATCATATGACAGATCGTTTTCTGAATATCTGTTCTTTTTCTCTAACACGTATATAGCTCTTCACGGGCAATAAGAAGCAGCCTGTTATAGTGCCCATGTATGCAGCAGGGTTGGTGAGTACAAAAATATCTCTCCCTGTATTTGTCAATGCTGCATTTATTCTGTAAAACCAGCTTACATAGCATGACATGGAAAGTATACTTTATGGATATTTAGTGTGAAAACATTAAAGGGTAAATACAGTATCCTCTTTGCTCTCATGAATCCCTTCAAATCTTGCTCTGAGGACATTTCTCTATATTCCATTTGTTGCAGACACTTGTTTTAGGGAGAAAATTATTTTTTATCTTAGTAATTTTTTACAAAATACACTTTGGATGTTACTCTTTTTCATTTTTCTTTTTAAAAAAGAAGAGCCAAAAGTGTCTGAAGATCTAGATACCATTTGTTTTAATAATAAGGTTTAAATAATGCAATGTTGAAGCTATGAGTATATATATATATAAGCTTAGAAATACAAATTACAGTAAATGAAAGTGCGCCAGGATGGATGTCCTCGGTTTTTCCATCAATGTTTTAAATGTGTTGAATTTTCTTTTTTCAGATATGCCAGGTAGTCCAGAATATCTGAGGAATTTTCATTGTGTACCTTATCAAGACTCAGTCATACTTTTAAAGTTTGATGTGTTTGTGTTTTTTTGGTGTGTCTTAGAGTTATTGATGAATAAAAATGGCCTTTGGTGTGTCTTAGAGTTATTGGTGAATAAAAATGGCCTATCGATTAAACTAAAATATTTTTTGATTCTTTCACCAATAACTTGAAAATAAAGAAGAAATACTATTTTTAAGAAAGAAAGAAAAAATAAGAAACCTTTGGTATGGAATTTAAATCATATAAACCTGTATGTGCACGTGAAAATGAATTTGCTGTGGAACTTGATCTCTCCCACTCCATCTCCAAACATTTTCCATGAATAAGAACTATTGATATTGAATTGGGATGTTTTGTTTTTACAATGTTCTTTGTTTCATGGAATCAGACAAAAAAATTTCTGTGCTTCAACATTTTTTTATCAGTTTTTGTTCCTTTGTAATTAATTGTCTATTTTCAAAACACGTTGATCATCCCTATACTCTGTTATAGGTAAATATAATCCAGAACTTATTTTTGAACTTTTTGGATATTTGGATCTCTTTTCTTTTCATGGAGTGCATTCTAGAAGTTGTTATTGTTATATTCTGTGTAGGAAGTAGGAATTAAATTTTGTAGGAATTTTCATTCATCTAGTTGGAAGTAGATGAATGAAATGCTGATGTGTAGGCTAGCACATTAGGTAATTATGTACATTTTTGGAGAAGTTACAGACTAATATTTGTCCTTTACTTTTTTACCTTAATTGCAGTCTTTATTAGTAGTAATTTTACCACTTTTAAACTTTTAATTGACTCAATGATATATCCCTTCTCCATCATTGTAATTACTTATATTTGGAAACTTAATCTTTTTCATATATGCTATCAAATCCTAGCTATACTTAAGTTTTCCCATGGTGCTTTATGTATGAGAAGTATTTAATATCTTTTAATCTCAGCTAGAGGAATAGTACATGAATTAATAATTTTAAGTTTCTTTTTATCAGATTTCCCAAGCATCAGAATGTTGTCCACCACCTCCTACTTACTTATTTAGTAGGTCTGGGCTAGGGCTCAAGTTTACACATCTAACAAGTTTCTATGTGATACAAAAACTATTGATTAGGGATCACATTTTAAGAACCAGTTTGGTACTAATTTACATTAGAAAAGTTAGCTAAAAGCAGTAATTGTTCACCACATGCACTGTCCTAGCATAAGGGTGCACTCAAGAACCTATATAACATATATGGTTATAACTGTATTTATTTTGTTTTTTAATAAATTTAAAAAAAGAAACCCACAATCTGTTAGACACCCCTCCATCCGTGCTACCACCTCTCACCTCTTCCCTTCTGGTAACCTCAGTTCAGTTGTCAGTGTGCACTGGCTTATTTTGTTTTACCTGTTCAGTTGCTTTGTTCCTGATCATCCAAATATGCGTGAGCTCATCTATTATTTTTCTGTTTCCATCTAACTTCCTTCATTTAGCATAGTCCCTTCCTTAGTTCCTTCCACTGCTAATAGCAAAAGTTCATCTTTTTCTATAATTGAGCAATATTCCATTCAATATATATACCACATCACCTTTATTCAGCATTCTACCAGTGTACATTTAGATTATTTCCATATCTTGGCTCTTGTAGATAGTGCTGCAGTAAATATACAGTTGCATATATCTCTTTGAGTCAGTGACTTCTCATTCTTCAGAGACACACCCAGAAGTGGGATCACTGTAGCATACAATAGTTCTAATTTTAGTTTTTTTGAGGGGGAATTCTAAAACTTTGATTTTTAGAAATTTATAGAGTCTAACATTACTGACTGAACAACTTTGATTCCTGCCTCCCTCTCCGCCCACCACAGTTAAGGGAGACTTTTTCATCTGGTTGATACATAGTTTATCAAATGTTATTTTTAAGCCTATATATGCTTGGCTTTTCAGGCCTTTCATCTGTATTATTACCCATTTTTATTAGTGTTTTATAGAGTTTTGATGCGAAATGCTTTTTTTTCTTTTTGTTTTTATTCCTATCCTGGATGTCTTCCTTTTTTACTCAAAATAGTTTGTTAGATTTATAACATTCCAAGTAGAAATTTTAAGATGTTACCCCCTGTAAAATGACTGTTTCTGCTTTGCCAGTTCAAGGAATTAAGGACTAAGAGAAGTATGTAGACATCATCACATTACATGGTGTGCCCATCCCTGTAGTTTTCATGTCTGAAATACAAAAATGTTGGAGTCGTCGGGCCTGGAGATAGTAAACAGCTATGCTGCCCTCTTCCCCACCCTCGTACCCTTGCCACTCCATCACTTTGTGCTTCTATGCTTGTGTCAGTGATAACTGGGCTCTTCAAAATAAGTCTGATTTAAAATACAAGGTTTTACTTCAAAACAGTTTGATTCAGTTTCCCATTATAGCAGTTTCCCATTATAGTACTATAAGATTTTCTCCAAACAAAATTCAGTAGTATTTCCTTTTCGTCTTTAGTACTTTCCAGATGTATGTTTGTTTTTTCTTTTTGCTTTCTTTTAGATTAACTCTCCTGTAAAGTTTATGGATTGATTCCCCCCACCACCAGTTAATGCCTCTTATGCCTTTTTCAGGGTATGTTAGAGCCCACCAAGGAACCATTGAAACCATTATCTGCTGCAGAAAAAATTGCTTCCATTGGTCAGACAACCACCATGTCACCAGAAATGAACACATGTGCATCTGACCAATTCCAGGTAAAAACATGTGTATAGGTTAATAATGTATTTATATACACAGATAGCTACATACACGTTTGTTTCCATCCATTTGTAACTTCAAGTTTTTAGAACTTTTAAATTTTAGCTTCATCATAAATGTGATTTTATTTATTGACCTAAGTATTAGAATATAATGAATTGTCTTCAATAATTTTTGAAAACAGAAGGGCACAGTTTGAGAACTGACTGGATGTGGGTAAGTCCTTTAAATCTATTGTAGGCCTTTGGGGTATATCTCTAAAATCCCTTACAGTTTAAACATTTGTATGGTCATTATTGATATACAAATTTGGTAAGTGCTTGATTTTTTAAAAAATGGAAAATATGTTTAACTGATGTGTGGCCTTTAACAAAACATCCTGTGAGTCAGCAAAACCAAAAATTCTCTTACCTTTCTTATCTTTACTCTCTTGATACAAGTAAGCACAAATTTTAATTCCATCTAATATGTTTAATAATAAAGCCTCCATCTCACTTTTTATCTGTAAGAAAACACCCATTTTGGTTTGCTTACTCTCCCCATTTCAGATTAAAAATTTATTCAAGTGCTAAGCAAACATTGCTTTCAGAAGATTAATATTTTTAAGTGAACATTACCATTTTCAAAACATGTTCTTGGTATGTTTATTTCTTAACCTTAAATATTTTCAGTTACATCCAACATAGAAATGTGTTTGACATTCTTTTCCAAAACCTGTTCCCTTGGACACTAATCCTCAGAAATGCTTCATTAATGGAGGTGGATCAACTTTGGTAAACATTTCATAGTGTACCCTCTAATCACCCTGGAAGATTCACTACACATACATTACAAAACTGAAAAATCCTACAGCAAATACCCTATTTAACTTTATTTCATTTCTTAAATTTTACTTAGTCATAGAGCTCTTTCTGCAGGGCCTAGAAGGAGAGAGTCATAACATCTGTAAAATTAGTGTTTTGAAGAACATTCTTTAGAAAGTAATGATGTAAAACAAGGGCCTTACCCTTTTAGCTGTATTTCAAAAACCGTTCTATACCATTGTTATTTATCCTTGAGTATAACTTAAACATCCCTTCAAGCCAGTTTATTATTGGTACTGATTAGCTGGCAAGGAAACCTAATGCATAAAATCCCTGGACTTAATGATGGTTTGCTAGCAGACAAGGTAACTTGGGTAAAATATCTCAATAAGTAAAATCTGTCTTTTGGAATCTTCCTTATATTATCCTCTGACCATCAGCTACTCTCTGAGACCTGTATGCAGATTTCAGAATTACTTTTCCCTCAACATACCCCATATCTGTCTCAGTCAACATTTTTATTCCTACAGTGCTAGGTATTAGAAAAGGAAATTGAACAATTTAATCTGGTTCATTTATTTAAAATGGGGCTGTTCTTATTTGTGATCATCACTTGTGGCTACTTTTACTTGCCTTTTCCTCCACTATACTTTCACTTCCACATCATACAGCCCTATAAATGATTGCTTATTTTATCATCTTTAACTATTGCTCTTCATTTGCTCCTAGCTAATTTTTATCATCATCTGTATGTCATCCTAGTCATACCTCACCCTTAATCATCTTTCTTTTATAATTTAGTTATACGCTTAACTAAAAGTAGTTTAGATGACCTAATAAAAAAACCATATGTCTTAATTTAATGAAAGACTTTTAATGAAAACAAATGTGTATTAATTTAATGGAGGTTAATTACAACTCCATGATATATATTCAACTGCTGTCATCCCTGTACATATACCTCTAAGTACTTGTATTTGTAATCATTACTGTCTTAGGATTTAGAGGCTGCTATAGACATTTTTAGTAGCATTTAATCATATTTAACTATTTTGCTAGTTAATGGAACTTTATCTTGTTACTTAAGTAAAATAAGCTCTTTGCAATCATACATATTCTCTTTTACTTCTTAGTGAGCACAGTTTTTTTTTAATCTAAATACTGAGTTAACAAGCTGTAAATTTATTTTTTAATGTTAATTTTTACTTTTTTATTTTTGCTATTTAATGATCCTCATGAACTTTAGATTTTAAGTTTCCCAATGAAATTTTTCAAACTTTTTTTTAATTGACTCTGTAGGTTTTCATTTTAGCATACACACATTCAAGCTCAAAATTTAATGTGCTAAGCTACCCTGGTAGCACAAGGGGCTAAGTCATAGCACTATGAAGCTATTGCCACCCACTACAGTATGAGTTCAGTCCTCAGCCAGGAGATGACTCACGTGATGCAACAGACCTTCCTGTCTTGCTTGCCGCTTCCCTGTACATCTAACTTTTCTGTTCCCCACGATGTTTTTGGTAAATCCTCTCACCCCTCATTCCTCTGGCCTGCACCCCAGCTCTTGTATACATGAATAAGTAAACATTTTTTAAAAATTTAAGTTTGCCTATCAGAATTTTGTGCAGAGATGGCTGACTTTGATAACTAAATTGTGTGATCATTGTTTGAGCTCCATACTTCTGATTCAGGTTAAAATATTTTGCAGATATCTGAAATGCTTTGTAAAGAATCTCTATGTAAAGTGATACTACTTACCACTGTTATCTGACAAGCAGTATATATATATATATAATTTTTACTTTACATTTTGGCCATGCTCCACATTTTCCCCAAAACCATAATTTTCAGATGAAACCGTCATATCTTTTGGTGCTAGCAGCATAGTAAAATGTGTCCCAAAAAATACCTGCTCAACACTTAAGTATGTGTTTGTTTTAAAGAAACTATACCAAATCTTTTTTATGTGTTTGTTTTTGGTATCACTGAACAGTGACTTTCAAACTTAATATAGTTAATAGTTGTCATTATGGTTGCATGCTTTTTGAACTGTATTCTGTCTCAGTTTTGGAACGCATTTAATTTTTATTTTTCTAAATTAGTTTGTACTCATTAATTTTATAACTGTTTACAGTGCTTGTTTTTTAATAACTTGTTAAATAACTGCTAGTGGTGTTTTTTCTAAGATATTTTACCTGAAAAGAGTTCATGGGCAAAAAGCAGTAATGATACTTCTTGTTATTTTTATCTAAGTTTCAAAGTCACATCATTGATGGTGTCATTACTGAGCCCCCTCTTAAGTAAGATCAGTGCATTTTTTTATTGGCTGCTAAGGAGAATTAAATCTTGGTTAGCAGTTATCCAACTTAGTAGTTATCACTAGCAAGCTTCATCTCAACTCTTCTACTTGATCTCAACAACTGCTTGATGTGACTTTTTGATTTGTGAATCAGAATTTTATAATTAGAACAAAGAAAAAAGTATCTAGCATTGTGTGCTGTACTTTTGTAATAAAAGCACATTTGGAAAGGCTAAGTGATATACCCAAAGTCATACATCAGTGGTACAGCTGGGGTGAGAACCCATTCTCTTGTCTCTTTCTCTCTCTCTCTTTTTTTTTTTTTTTTTGCCTTTTATTATGACCTTGTTTTCCTTAGTGCTTTTGTCTCTGATATAATCATCTTACCAGCTTGCTTCAAGTTATTCTAAAAAGCTGTATCCTGGTGTATCCTCTTTGATGTGTTTTACTTATCAGTGCCATTAGTTAGCCTGTAATTGTTTATGTATCCTATTTTTTATCTGTCTCATTTTTACCAAATGTTGATTCATGTTTTAGCCACTTGTTATTTATAATATTAACTATATATTCAAAATGCCATATACCTGTATGAGAAGCTAAAATTCCAGCAAATTGTTGAAGTATTTCTAAGCATCCAGTTGTTTGATATAATTTAGGCAAAGCATATTAATAAAAGAGCTTTGCTGTTAGTACAGAGATTTTGTAATTGCATAAACCTGGGTTTTGTCCATGAAGTTCATGTTGAATGTGACAAGAGGTCATTGATCTAGAACTAGAATAATAAAAGTTGAATCTCTTAGAACATCTAGAGCATCTTGTTTGTCTTTGAGATCAGCTAAAGAAGATCTTTTCTAAATATTGTTTTTCAGTCTTGCAGATGGTTTATAGATTTTCACTGGCAATTTTTTAATTTTATGTGAAATAGTTATAGAGTCCCAAGAGTTGCAAAGATACATATAATGAGTACCTTGTACTCTTCAGCAGTGTCCCCATTAGTACATCTTACATAATTCTAATACAATATGAAAGCCAAGAATGTCATCCTATCATGTGGATAGATTCATGTTACCATCACCACAATTAAGGCATAAAACTCTTCCATCATCACAAATAATTCCCTTAATATCTCCTCCCCATGCCACTCCCACTGTCACCCGTAATCCTTGGCACCCACTAATAATAGCTCCAGATCTGATCTGATTTTTAGAAGATGAAATGCCTGTCTTGTTATCCCAGATATCAAGACAGTTGTATTATAATATCACAGGATGGATTCAACTTGCAAAAATAATCTGATTCATGCTCCTTCCTTACTGGAACACTGTCTGTCTACACAGAAAGGAAAAAAATGAGTCTAAAGTGTTAATTGTGCCCACCTTACAGTACAACATAATGGCAAGCAATAAAAATAAATGACAACCTTGATACATTATGATTCTGAAGAAGTAAGTTATTCCAATACGTGTTGCCAACACCACTACCAAAAAAAAAAAAAAAAAGTGCCGTTTTTAGGTCTAGAATATATTTTAAAATAAAGTAGTGTTCACTTTAATATATTTTTGTGCTACCTTTCATCTTATATGTACTACTCGCTCATCTTATCTTTGTTTTTAACAGTTAACAAAATTTTAAAGCCCAGGCTTCAAAAGAGATGAATATACATTCTAATACATTATTTTAAAAACTAAATTCCGATACTGGTTATAATTTTAAATTAGAGAAACTGATTAAAATATTTTAACAACTTAAATATTCAGTTCTCATCTACTAACCCATAGTTTCCTTCATAATTTGTAAGGTTATAAAGAACCAGAGATCTTGGACTTTGGATCTTCTCGTTTTACTTAAAAGGAAACAAACTTATAAAATCACACAGCTAGTTTACTTTAGTAGTAACTTGATCTCAAATAACCCAAATCTCTTCATTTTCAGTATAGTATCTTCTCTGTTTCTATATATTATTTATTGAGAAATTTTAAGTGATTGTTATTTAAAATAGATCATTCTATAGCAAAAATTGTCTGAAATTTTCAAATATTTTAATATTTTTATTATAATCTAGTCAATTTTTAACAAACCATACTTTAAGTCTTTATTTGAGATTAAAATCTTAACATAGAATCGGTATATCAATTTCTGTTTGAAAATATAAATTTATTCCATTGGTCAGATATAACTGTTTCAATGTCAATAAGGTGTACTGTTTATAAATTTTAGAATTTCACATTTGTGTTAACACTTTCTGAAGTTATAAATTATCCCAATTTTGTCCTTAGGTATTTTATTGAGTTTAGGTATTTTATTGCCAAATGATCTTGCTGTAGCTTTTTTTTTTTTTTAAAGGATTCTTTATGTTGCTACAACCTGTATTGATTAATTTTTGATTTTTTGGTTTTCAACTCTAGGATTCTCTACCACCCGTCCAGTTTGACTGGAGTAGCAGTGGCCTTACTAACCCTTTAGATGGTACGTCTCTCCGTAGAGCCTCTAGCACCAGAGCTAGAGTTAAGAAAGCTACAAAGTTCAGACAAACTTCTCTCTGCTGATTTTCATTTTTGTTTGAACATAACTTCTTATCTTTGGAAATTCAGGCTTTCTTTCTGAATAGTAATTGCTCAAGAAACCAGCCATTCCTATTATTAACAGTATTAATGTCCAAATATAGGTAGTAGTAGCTTGATAAAATTTTAGTTTCTTTATCTTAAGTCAAAATAAGTTCCTTTTTTTGTTTGTTTGTTTTTAGAAATATCTAAGTAGTGTAAGTGATACTTTAGGTAGGACCAATTTACTTGAAAATTTTTTCTGTAGTTTTATTTTCTGGAATTTTCTTGAATGCAAAGTTTTGTGACTAGAGATGGCTTTAAAGCACAAAGCACAATTATTTAACCAAAAACAATGTGCAAATAGAGCATATTTATTGACTCAAAGTAGTTTTGAAATTTAATATTTTATAGAATACTTATATGCAAATGGAAGTGAATAATTTTCATGATCCTTTTTCTAAAACTTATCTCAAAATGCTAGTAGGTAGTTCCAAAATAATGGGATTTCATGTATGATTTTAAAAAGGAATGACTGAACAAGGAATAACTTATTCCAATAACATGGGATCAAAATACACAAAAGGCTACTTTTCAGTGAGTTGACACCACAAGTTTTAATTGGACCCTCAGATAAAATTACTCTTACTCCTTATCCTTTCTCAGTTTGAGTCATTGTCTAAAACACCTGTCAGTTTTTTGACTTTCCCTTGTAGTGGGAGGCCTAGACTATCTGGAAAGCATCCAATTGAATAACAGTGCTGAAGGAAAGCCTGGATGCACCTTTTACTGTTGTCTGGTGTCTTTATTCAGTCAAATCATTATGCTTTTTATTAACAAACTACTTCTATAAAAATGTATACTATTTCTGATTACTGTTTCAGAGTTAAAGGGGAACAGTACAGCTTGAGGTTGCACATCAGGGTAGGGCAGTTACGACATTCCTTATTATAATATTTTAAACTAAGCTAATGTATTAGTACGTGTCCTAAAACTGACAACTTTGTCACTCTTGAAAAGTCATTAATTAGAAACCAGCACTACTAACATGAAAGATTGATTTGGGCATGTACTGTGATTTAATGTTGAGTTGAGATTTTAAAGTATTGTTTCCCTTTAACGGGTATATCTTCCCCTTGATCTTTCTGGTATGGCTTGAGTTTTGATTGAAAGAACTGAATTCCTAACTAAAACCTTACTAAGTGTTAATTATTTACATTGTACATGAGAAAATGTACATTGAATTAAAATGTTACTTTAGAATGTCCTTAGTAATGAAAAACTAATACTGTACACATTGTTTTAATGTTGATTTTAAAATGTGTAATGACTACTAATTATAACCTGCATGTTCAAGTGTGTGTCTTACCCCTTTTTACACATAACCCCTCCTCCCTTGGCTTACCTTCTGTGTGGCTGCCTACCAACATGGTCACTGAATTTCAAGCTAGTGGAGGTTCCACTCTTCTGAACCTTGATTTCTTTGGGCCCGTGGATGACAGTAGCTCTAGCAGCAGCACCACAATCCCAGGTCAGCAGAGTGTTAAAACCACAATTCTAGTTTATTTACTAAAAGCATGACCACCTTACTTGACTTTCCTATAAACAAGGAAACAAGTAGATTATATTCTTTATAATGTCTTTCTAATACTTTTCTTTCATGTATCTATTGTTGTTTTCTAGTATCTTGACTATCACAATGACTTAAGTGAAATGTATTTTAAAGAAAGTTTTCTCAGTGTAATACTCAGAGCAGAGAGTAGTTTCTTAGAGTAAAACAACCCTAATGTCCTAAGACAGTTAAAGGCGGGGTTTTTTTTCTGTAAGTGTTTAAAAATGTGATATTTTATATGCTTATTTTTTAAAATCATATTCTATAGATCCATTTGAAAAAATACAAGTTTAGAGATATAAGAATATTTTAGTACACAAGGATGACTTTACATTGTAGTGCTGTGATAATAGAACCATTACAGAGCCTAGCATTCAATTAGCTATTAGTGTTGCTAGATGTTATGATTAAGTTTCAAAATGTCAGAATCTAACACTTAGTTACATAGTCCCATGTAGAACTATTACTGTTTTTATGTGGCTCTCAAATGGAAGTATTCTGTTTTCCTCAGAGAAAAGAAATGTTACAAAAGTTAATAGTAGAAAGTCATTGCTATGCCATCCTAAAAGCTAGGAATTAAGATTTACTGGAGTGCCTGTTAAGTTAATGTTTAGCCCTGCGAAAGTTCAGTTCATTGACCAAAGAACTCATGTAATTTGTCATTTTCTAACTGAATAAAAGATTAAAATATATAATGGTATTTTTATGTTTATATTTTATTTGATGATTTTAATGAGTCCCTAGAATCCCAACTTGTCACCAGACAGCTGGTGGGGTGCAATACAGATGCTGATTGCATAGCAAGGAGCCCTCTCTGTTTTCACTTGGAGCCATTTACACTGCCTGCCTGGTTCCTGAATTTTTGCTGGGTTTGTTATACTCCCTTAGATAATCCTACCACCCACTTCCAGTAGTTAAGGAGCCATGGGGGCAAGTGGGGGAGACCAAAGAGCCAGCTGAGGGTGAACCTGGGACCCAGGATGCCCATTTCCAAGATCTGGTTGTGGAAATCTGAACCTGCAATAAAGAAGTTACAAGCCATTTGGTAGAATGACTGGATTCCCCAAACCTCAATCCCTTGTTTTATTTTCATTGTTTCCAAGATTTTGCAAGCATATGAAAAAAACCAATGTGTCTGGTTTTGACTACAAAAATTATATTTGCCATTTACTTAAATTCTTTCTAAATGTGGGCTTTGGAATGACTTGGGTGAGCTAATTAGTTGTCTTAAATACTTAATGGTGGGAGGTAGGGGGAAGAAAACAACCAAAGGCTTACATTATCAGTTTCTTGTCACTGTATTCCCAAGAATGAATTACTAAGCTCCCATTTTTAATTTTCTCTCTGCTTTGTTTTGTCATGTATTTCAGTTTAAATGAGATCATTATTTTGTATGCCTAAAATCTGATTTAAATTTAATTTTTGGTTACATTTCAAGCTTAGTTAAAAAACTGTGTATAGGAGCACAGATAATCTGACCACATAAAGAAGGACAGATTACCTGATAACCAAGCTCAGTATGCAAAGCTTCAAGAAAAGCAGGTGGCTTCAGAAGTTTAGAGATGTAATAGAAGTAAAATTAGCATGCTCAAATGTGATCCTTGTTACTTTGGAACCTTTTAAATATTTTTGTTCCGTATTTTTATTAATATGCTCTAGCTGCTTTATAAACTTGATCAAATTTGCTTTGGCTTCTTTTTATTGCTATTGGGTTTTGTTAAAACAACATCAAGCACTAGGTACCAACCCCTTCCTTAGTATTCCATTTCACCACTCGCTTGCACTTTTTCTGACTTGTTTCTGGGAAAGTCATTTTGTCTTAGCTTGCTGTTATTTAATTATTTTGTGTGTGAGACCTAAGGTTGGCATAGAATTTGGTTGGCTAGCTTTAGTTACATAACTAAACTATGCCTCATTAAGGTTCTGTTAAAAAAAAAAAAAAAGCTCTTCCATCAAAACATTACTCTTAATTTTTTAATTATTAGTGTAGAGTAAGTAGCTCTCTTGTTAAATATAAAATGTAGCCATGGTACTTTTTTTCTTTCTTTCTTTCTTTCTTTCTTTGTTTGATGGTGTTTGGTTTGGGCTTAAGAGGGTTGTTGGGGTTTTTTGTTGTTCTTTTTTTTTTTTAATCTCCCACTTTACTGTTTGACAGTCCACTGGGCAGTATTTTACAAACCCAACTAAGTTTTTACTAGTACTTTCCTGTTGCCAGTTAGAGTGTAGTTGTTTATTCTGTACTATGCATTGGGCATCATTTTAAATGTGTTTACTTGGAATTGAACCTTTCATGGTGGAGGAAAGAGGTACTTTGGATTCATATTGTCCCTTTACAACATCTACACTTTTTTACACTCAATTGCAACCTATATAGTTACTATAGAAATACAATGAGAAGGTTTTTTTTAAGGTATTTTGAAACTGTACCTTAATGATATGTTAAGAACTTGGGAAAGTCAACGGACATTTTCTATAGCCTGCCTTCCTTCATGGTAACTGTGGAAGCTGCTTTTGCTTGTTTGATTTCTGTAAACATCTGAGATCTATGTTTCCATCTGCTGGTCATCTGCAAAGTTGGCTAATAGAAGACAATTCCTAGTTTTCCTTTTAAGCTTGAACTAATCTACAGGGAAGGAAGTTATTAATTTCATTGTATGTATTTATATATCATTTTATCTGTTAGTCCTCAGGACTTTCGTAGAAATAATTGGTTAAAATCAATAAAACGATCAGACATTGTTCATTACAGTCTGCTTTTCTCTTATATACCCTTTTATGTATTAAACTTTTTACCTCACATAATTTCCTACTATCAGAAAGTATAGGATTATACTTTTTCCTTATTATTAGTCCAAGTTTTGCTTAAGTGGAAAATATTTAATTGTTCTTTTCTAATCATCGTTGTTATTCACTATAAACCTATGTTCTTGGAAATGTAAATATGCATATTAGTAAAATCAGATGGAGAAGGACTTTATAAACTTTAATAAATCTAGTTCAACTTTATTTTAATTCCTCTAATAAGACATTTCAACTATTAGATTCAGATATGAGACCATAGAAATATAATTGACCCATGAGAGGACTTTCATTTTGTCGAAAAATAACATTTTTATTCACTTTTTCTGAGAATAGTTTACCCGCCTCACATCTTTCCTGAAGAAACAGTATGGTATGTAGTTTAGCCTCAGTAATAATAAGATGCCTTGAATAATATTTCATGCTTAGCTGATTAGAATATAGTTCAGCCAAATAGTTTACCATATTTGAGACTTTATTTTAGTTTCTAAACTTGTTGTGAAAGAAAAAATAGTCAGGGAGGAAGGTTCAAAAATGAGACTAATCAGTCTATTTAAAAGATAAGATGTCATTTATAACAAGGTATGTGCATTTTATTAATAAAACAGTAACTTTCATATCACAAACAAATCCAAATTCGCAGTTTTTTACAAGTTAGAAATTTGAGTAGTATTTGGGTGGTATTGCAATATAAATGTTAAACTAATGAAGATAAGATTTACTCTGAAGTGAATTTTTTAAGTTATTTCCCACTTTATGAGAACTGTGGAAAATGGAAGTGATAATTTAAAAAATAAATGTCACCTAAAAATGTGTTGTGTGGTAAAAGACTCAGATGTTTACAGAATAATTGCCTTTTGCATCTTGAATTGTGGCTAATTGAATAACCCATTACATTTTGCCATCACTGACTATCATTTTATACTATAAGGTGTGGATCCAGAGTTATATGAGTTAACAACTTCTAAGCTGGAAATCTCCACCTCAAGCCTCAAAGTAACTGATGCTTTTGCAAGACTTATGTCCACAGTGGAGAAGACAAGCACATCTACCAGGTAAACAACCAGTGCTCCTTACACACATTCTGAATACTGTGTTAAAATAACCCAACTGGGAAAGTACAGAAGTGGGCAGTATTTCAGTATGTGGTATGAAAATTCACTTTATATTTGTAAAAACAAATAGATGACTAATTCCAGACAATAGGATCAAATCATTTTTAATTGTGAATTTATTAGAGCAGTGCTATTTCATAAAACTGTAAAAAGACTGACAGATAATGCTTTTCTCTCATTCTTCCCCCACACAACTTTATAGAGAAAAGTTCTGATTATTGGTATCAAAAAGCTAGTGTAGAAACAACCCCCTTCCCTTCATAACTACTGATTTGATCTGAGAATCCAGTTTCACAGCCCGAGTCACTGAGGCTACAATAGGGATGGCCACTATTTTATTTTCTGAGTTTTCATTAATGTGCAGTCCTTCTGAATTGGTATAGAAAGCCCTGTTTTATTAGGCTTCCTGAGGGCTTCAAATGACACAACCTCTAGAAAAAATTTCTATTGTCAGTGTTGGAAACAAATATAAGGATATGACATTTGGACTATGAAGATTCAAAAAACCATTGTTTTTACACAATTAAGCACTGGCAGTAGGGTTTGTCATGTTAGCTGTGAGAATAAACCCGTTCCTACTAAGAAGGTAGTCACTGTGAGCCAGGAATCACTGCTGCAAGAGCAAATGCTGTGTGGTTGGTATGCCAGTTCTGCTGTCCCAAATTCATGATGCATCAGCATTTCAAAGTGGAAATATTTACCTGTAGCCCACTTTGGTGCGAGTATTATAGCTCTTTCTCTGGATTAAGTATATTCCACTCACACTCACATGTCAGCTTCAGATTTATCTTTTAAATCAATTCTTCTGTAGGAAAACTTTTTTTTTTGGTAAATAGTAAGTGCTACCTGAGTTAAAACTTCAACTTGAATTATCATACTACCTTTTAAATTATATGTCTATATTTGTGTTCATTCAACAGATATTACTCTTAATACTTAGAATTATGGAAAGACACTATTTGTTTTATAATTTTAGCTACCCTTAACTGTTCCATGGAATGGACTTGTAACTTGTACATTCTTGTTTGTCTACAGATTCTCTCCTTTGTTCTCACTGCCCACTTTCTTTGTAGAGACTACCTGGCAAAGCTAAAGCCTAGTAGATTAATCTACCAACTTGTAAATGAAGTTTTTGTGGATTTTTTGCTTGCTCTCTCTAATTTGTTTTCCTCTTGCCAAATCATATTTTCACATTGAAAACCTTCTCATGCACATTTCTCATACATATTTTTGTATATGTTTGTCAAGACTCTGATGTTTTTATTGTTTGGCCTTTCCTTGTTACTTTTTGAACAGTTTTTTTTTTTCCCCCTAAGGGAAGGGCAATCCAGTTTTCCTATGTAGTCTCACTCTAGAGTTTCCTGACAAAGTGATGAGAATTCATTTTTTGTGCCATTAGGAGGAGCTCTCGACCACATTGTTAACTTGCTTGTTCTCCTGGCTTTTTAGCTCATCCTTAAAACATGCTTTACACTAAGTAGGAAACTTTCCAACGCCTATCTTTTTAAGAAGTCATTTTCATTTTTCCCCCTATTCTCTACTGTTATGGAATGAACTGAAACTAGTGTATGTCCCAAGGTCAGTGTGGTACCAAAATTAAGTAACTGTAGTGCTCTCCAACTTCAGAGTTTTTAAATATAATAAATTGAAAACAGAACTGGTTGCCAGTTGGTTTTTTTTTCTTTTTTCTTTTTTTTTTTGAGGAATTATTTTGAAATGGTGAGAATACAAAATATTCACAAGTCTTGCAGTTAGTTAACACTGTAAAATGTCACCATGAGTGATTCTCAATTGTACAGGGAAAAGAAATGGGAATATCATAAATAGTTTCAGAAAATATCAGTGTCTTTGCTTTCATCTGTTTTTATTTCAAAAAATAAAACTTAGCAAAACTTTGCTTCTTGACAATATATAGAAGATAAAGATTTAAACTATAGAACAAGACAAGGCTAAGAAGGGCCTCCCTAGTGGCACAAGAGGTTAAGCCTCAGCACTATCAAGTTATAGATAGCTGCTGCAGCATGAGTTCGATCCCCAGCCAGGGAGCTGACCCACATGGCCAGGCAGACCTCTCTTGTCTCACCTGCTGTTCCCCTCAGGAGCATATTTCAGTGGCTGTGCCTGTTCTGCTCCCCACTCTTGTCTCTGATGAATCCTTTCTCTCTCCTCAAGCCCCACCCCACTGTACCTCTGACCTGTACCCCAGTTCTTTGCATAAATAAATCTTCTTAAAAAGAAAAAATTGAGAAGCAGTAGCCTACGTAAAGAAAATTGGACATGTAACAAACAATATCCCATACTGTTGATAAATGCTATTGCACATGTCAAAAAAGTACATGTGCTCTTACAATTGTGAAAGTGAATTCTTATTTTTTTTTTTTAAAGATTTATTTATTTGTGCATACAGAACTGGGATACAGGCCAGAGGCTCAGGGGCGGTGAGAGGCTTCACCAGAGACAGAGTGGGGAACAGGACAGGCCGATCAACGAAGTACACTGCTGAGGGGAGCAGCGGGCGGGTCAGGAGAGGTCTGCCGCGCCATGTGGTCACCTCCGGGGCAGGCGGGAATCGAACTCATGCGGAGGCGGCTTTAGATTCTCAGTACTGTGCTTTAACCCACTGCGCCACCAGGGAGGGCCCGAATTCTTATTTTTTAAAGAAATCAAGTTCTTACTTCTTGGGGTTTTTTTAAAAGATTATTTATTTATGCATACAGAATTACAGAATTGGGGTATAATCCAGAAGTGCAGGGGGTGAGAACATTCACCAGAGAGAACAGGCAGATTGAAGAAGTACACTGCTGAGGGGAGCAGCAGGCAAGACAGGAGAGGTCTGCCAGGCCATGTGGCCACCTCCATGGCCAAGGATTGAACTTAAAGCAGCTGTGGCGCTACCCTCATAGTACTGTACTTCCCTCCCCCCCAGTACTGTGCTTTAAACTCCCGCACCACCAGGGAGGACCCTCGAGTTCTTAGTTTTAAAATAGTTTCATCTTCTCCCATACCTTTTGTAATAACAGGGGAAATTACTTCCTAATCTTAATTAGCAGTTAGCCAGCAAGCTAGTGGCCACAAAGGTATAACTGAAGTTTATACAAATATTTTATAACCTTTTAATTGAGATATATTTCATGTGCCATAAAATTCACTCTTCTCAGTGTACAATATGGTGATGTTCATTATATTAGATAGTATATTCATAAGGGTACACAACTTTCACTACTAATTCTGGAACAATTTTATCAATCCCAAGACAAGTCTATACCTACCTACTAGTAGTCACTTCTTATCTCTCACTTTTCCCAGCCTCTGGCAACCACTAATCTCTGTGTATGTGGATTTGCCTGTTCTGATTATTTCATAAATGGAGCCAGGCAATATTCAGCTCCTCTTGGCTTCTTTAACTTAGCGTAATGTTTTGAATTTCACGTTGCATTACTAGTACTTTTCATTCCTTCTTGTGGTTGCGTAATATTCCATTATATGGATACATCACAATTTGTTTATTAATCCATTGCTGACATGTGATTGTTACTACTTTGTGATCACTGAGTAATGTTGATACGAGCATTCAGTACAAGTTTTTGTATAGACAGATGTTTTCAATTTTCTTGGAAGTGAAACTGCTTAGTCATATGGTAACTCTCTTAACTTTTTGAGGAACTATGCAAAAGATAGGAGCATTCCAGTTTTTCCACATCCTCCACAAGACTTTGTCTGACTTTTTTTTTTTTAAGATTTATTTATTTATGCATACAAGAGCTGGGGTGTGCCTACAGAGGTGTGTGGGGTAAGAGGATTCACCAGAGAGACAAGAGTGGGGAACAGAGCAGGCAGATCTACTGAGATACACTGCTGAGGGGAGCAGCAGGTGCAACAAGAGAGTCTGGTATGCCATTTGGGTCACCTCTCTGCCTGGGGATCAAACTCCAGGTACAGTGCTAAGACATAACCCTTTGCACAACCAGGGATGACCTGTCTTTTTCTTTATAGGCATCCCAGTGGTTATGAAGTAATATCTAATTGGTTGCATTTCCCTAATGGCTAATGATGTTGAGCACCTTTTCAGATGATTGCTGGCCATTTGTATATATCCTCTAGAGAAATATCTGTTCGTGTTCTTTGTCTATCTTTTAATTGGGTAATTGTTCAAAGAAGTTTTTACTCATTTGACTACTAGACCTCTATCATGTATGATTTACAAGCATTTTCTCATCTATGGCTTATTTTTCACTTCTATTATAATGTCCTATAAAAATACAAAAGTTTTTTGAATTTTGACGAATCGAATTATTATATTTTTCTTTTACTGTTTATGCTTTAAGAGTCATATTTAAGAAGCCATTGCCTACTTCAAGGTCAGGAAGATTTACACGTAGGTTTTCTTCTAAGAATTTTATAGCTTCAACTCATATATCTAAATGTTGACCCATTTTGATTTAGTATTTAAATGTGAAGTAGGAGTCCAACTTTATTCTTTTGTATGTGGATGTACAGTTGTAAAAACAGTGTTGAAAGTACCCTTTTTCCTCCACTGAATTGTCTTGGCACTCTAGTTGGAAATTGATTAACTATAAACAGATGGGTTATTTCCATCTGTTTCACGATTGCATTCCATTCACAAAAGGGATAAATACTAGCTAGAGAAAATATAAATTAAAATTAGGTCACTGTCTTTGAGAAAAGATCATGATACAACTATTTTCAAATAATCCTCAGAATTTTCTTCTCTCTTATACTCAAAGAAACTAGATTACATCATGGGCTGTGACTACAGATAAATGCACAAACTATAAACTGTGTAAGCTTTTTTCTTATTTTAAAATGTAACTTCGGGCCCTCCCTGGTGGCGCAGTGGGTTAAAGCACTGCACTGAGAATCTAAAGCCGCTTCTGCATGAGTTCGATTCCCGCCTGTCCCAGAGGTGACCACATGGCGTGGCAGACCTCTCCTGACCCGCCCGCTGCTCCCCTCAGCAGTGTACTTCATCCATCTGCCTGTTCTGCTCCCCACTCTGTCTCTGGTGAAGCCTCTCGCCAGCCCCTGAGCCTCTGGCCTGTACCCCAGTTCTGTATGCACAAATAAATAAATCTTTAAAAAAAAAAAAAGTAACTTCATCTTTCCTCCCCTGAAATAAGGCCATTGCTAAAAACCTTAGAATAATCTTCACCACTTCTGGTCTCCAGTCCTCCACTCTACCAGCTGAGCTATCAAAGGACACATTGAATAATTGCCCAATCCTTAGGTGAAATCTTCTTCCTAGCTCTCCTTTCCCACACTCCAGCCTGCACTCAACAAGTGAGGGCATCCATTTGGGTGTAATTTTTTTGCAACTCTTTTTGTAATCTTTAAGATTACATATCTTACAGAAGCAGTAAGATATATTATTGAAAGTTAAAAGTGAAAGTGTCATATTCTTACTACTCAGATCACTGTAGCTTCTTTGTTCGCATTCTTTCAGATCCATTTCTATGCAAATTTGCATGTATGTGCTATCTTACCAAAAAGGAGATTTTATACTCCATACTGAATTCAACCTGCTCTTTCAATCAGTGACCTCAGTCTGTTAATATCAATAAAGTTTCATTCCATCTAATGCATAGGCTGTATTCAAATTTCCCCCAACAACATTCTTTCTTTCTGCTTCACCCAAACCAGTATCTGATCTACAACTACTAGACCTGACTGTTAAGGTTCTTAAGTCTCCTTTAACCTAGGTTGTCTTACCCCACCCCTTTTGGTTTTTCACTCTAACATGAGCATGTTTAAAAGGTGTTAAAAAAAAAAAATGGTTACTACCAGTTATCCCAAACTCTAGAGTTAGCTGTTTGCTTCCTTGAAGTATTTAGTGTGTTTCCATATTCTCCTTCCTGCATACTGAAAATTCTATCTAAGGGTTTGATGGACCAGATGAAACATTTTGGCTTAAGTGCATCATATGGTGTAGCATGTAACATGTAGCTAGGTAATATCTGATGGACTCCATCATTAGCAATACTAAGATAGACTGTTAGGGAGAGGTTGACCTTTTTCCATTATATACTTCCAGTTTTCACTTGGAGACTAAAAAGTGAGCTATCTGGTTTTACTTTGGAATGATGCAGCTAACCAGCTCCCCATGAAACATACACCTACACATTTTGTCACCATTTGCATGTGATCTAAAATGTAGATTTTAATCAAATTTTTGTATTGCATTTCATCCTGAAAAGCCCAAGAACTGAATTCAGTATTGATTGGTCTACTGATTTTCAGTGTGCTAACCTCCTACTGAAGAACTTTGATCCTAAAAACCTGATGTTTGATTTTTGGGGTGGGGGAGGTCATTCTATAAAATCTTTTTATTTAAGCCTGAAATTTAAAAAAAAAAATGGTAACAACAGAAAAACCTAGGTACAAAATAAAGGCCTACCTCTAACTTTTCTTTTTTGCTTTATCTCCTAACTTCCTGCTCTCCATTCCAAAAACAAAGTAAATATTTAGGTGGAAGAAATAACTTGTGTTATTTCTAGAGTACCTAACAGACTACCCTTTACCATAAAAAAAAATTGGGGACCTCCCTGATGGTGAAAGGGGTTAAGTCTCTGCCTGATCCCCAGACAGGGAGGTGACCCACATGGCACAGCAGACCTCTCCCCTCAGTAGTATATTTTGTAGATCTGCCTGTTCTGCTCCCCACTCTGTCTCTGGTGAATCCTCTCACCCTCACACCTCTGTAGGCACACCCCAGCTCTTATATTCATAAATGAATAGCTCTTAAAAAGAAAATTGGGCTTTTTACAGTCAACAATTCTAAATGAATTTTCATCTAAAAGTAGTATCTATATGTCTACAATTCTCTTTTCAGTATATTTAACATGGCGGGTGGGTTTGAAGCTCAGTTGGCATTTTCTGTAGCTAACCTGCTGGGAAGACCTTGGTCACCAGGAATTCTTTCCATCTGTGGTAGGCACCAAATTGCTCACTTCCTTTATCAGAGTCTAATGTAGGTACATGCACTTTATCCACAGGACCCTGAGATCTCTCCTCTCCCTGAGGTTTTCCAGCCTGTGTCCATCTTAACATCAGCAGCTGCTCTTAGTGCTGCTGCCTTTGGACACAGCATCCATATCTCAACAGGACTGAGACTCAGTGTTTTTGAACTTAGGGCTTTCTCTCCTGGAATTCCCCATTGGGGTTGAAGAAAGCCTGAGGTTAAAATGACTTAAGGTCTTGTGCCAAACATGCTTTGTTTTATGTTGAGGTACTTTTGGTAGTTTCATGGGGCGAGAGGAGGGGTAGGGGGAAATCCAGATGGGTGGAGTATTATTAGGGCTTTGACATTATACTTTCACGTGGCAATATTTTATAAGTATGAAATGTGGATGCTTTTTTCCTTCTGTAAAACTGTGATCAATAGGCAGGTACCCATGAATCTTTGTCCATGTGTGTCCTGTCTGTGCGAACATCCATAAATAGGGCATGATCGTCATAGGCGATTGGCGGCTGGCACAAGAGCAAGCCGTAAAATCATTATGAGGCTTGGGAACAGGAGAAAGAAAGGAACTCAGGGCCCATGGAGTGCTGTATACTTTAAAGACTATATTTTCTCCTGTTTGTCTAACAGTACGTCCCATTAACATGCTTCTCTTTTTCCTTTTGTCAAAGGAAACCGAAGAGAGAAGAGCACCTGAGTGAAGAAGCCATCAAGGTGATTGCTAGCCTTCCTGACTTAGCGTTCATGCATGCCAAGGTGTTGATGTTCCCCGCCACGTTGACGCCTTCCGCGAGCTGCCAGGAAAAAGCAGACTGATAACTTGTGAATTGGACAGTTTCAATTGCTTTTCCTTCCCTCCATCCTTCCCTACCACCAAAAGCATACCTGCTCTAATTAAAAAAAATTCAGCTGATTTGTTGGTAAGCCTCACTAGAAAGGTATACATAGTAATGTATATTTATATACATACTGAAGTCCTAAATTTATATTAGAAAACAATGTAAATAATCGGGGGTGAACATTTTTGAAGATTTATTCTTTTTGTGTTGCTGGGGTGTATACATTTATGTCTTTGTGAAATACACTGGTGGTGTCCTTCTTACAAAACTTTTGAAATAAAAAAAGAAAATTAAAAACTCAAATCTTCACTGTCTGAAATCCCCTTCAGTCTTTTCAGATTGCATTGAATGTGCTATTAATTTTTCATATCATATGTTGAAATACTTTTGCTCTCATAAGTAAGCTCCAAAGTCTCCATTTAAATGTGTGTGTGTGTGTGTGTGTGTGTGTGTGTGTGTGTGTGTGTGTGGTGTGGTGGTGGGTTTGTTTCAGATCTAGCCTTTGTTAACAGTCTTTGCACTCTTTTTTCAATCTTTTCAATCTGGAATATTGCTGTTTGACCTTTTGCAAGGTACTTCATCAGCTGCTCTTTGGTATAGGGCATGATCATTGTTGGAACTTGATTGGAGGGGGTTGAAGAGATTGTGTCTGTTTTAATCCATTTGGTTTGGAGAAGGACCAAATTATATGAATGTCTTACAATGAAATTTACTTGTTACTGATTTTTTTGTTCTATTGTACCACTGTTTTTGAGGATTTTGCACAGTGTAAAATGACATAATCATAGATTGCTATGGTTTAGGCTGTATATACAGTAAAAACTATGGGTTTTAAATGTTTGGGGAAATTCCTATGGAAAAAAGAGAGACATGTAGAAGAACCTCTAACAAGGTTAATGTGCATGCCAAGGTCTTTTGAGATGTAAGTGTGTAAATTTCCTTTTAGCTTACACAAAAATAAAATAATTTAAAAGAAATTTAGTTTGGTGTCTCTGTACTTTGATATCTGAAAGGAAAAGTAATGAGTTTGAATTTGAAGTTGTATTCTGTTTTAAGGTATTTAACAGAAAATCTTCTGGTATAACTTCTACTTTGTTGAAACCAAGAAAAATTAGAGCCTGACCCAAAAAAATTGGATCAGTACATTCAGTAACTGAGCTGTTTTTATGTAGAACATGAGGCCATAAAGAAAATTCCCATGATTCACTATAAACATCATCAACAAAATTGACAAGATTAAATAAGGATTTGTAGGGAACTTTTTTCCTTCCAAGAAAATGCATGAGCTTAAAGTGAGCAGAAAATTCTAATGCCAGTTTTAAAATACTAGGTATCTTTTCAGCAAAAGGCAAGTGACTTTTCTTAAAGTGGCAGCCCAAAGGTAGACCCCCTTATCTGCTATGAGAATGTTCTAGTGAAACCCTTCTGCACCTCCCTTGTTGACAGCGATTCCTGTATTGCCTGGATGTAACATGGGTTTCAAAATAGTTGCTTGAGTGTAATTTAAGTAGGGCCTGGAGTGACAATGCTTATCCTCTTATCTGTCTCCCACCATTTCCCCAGTTTTATTCCCCCAACTTTATCTTTTTCAAAGGCTTTCCTTCAAAATAGTCAGAAGTCTTCAGTGCTCAGTGGACCATCAGAAGAACTATATGTAATTGAGGTGCAAAGGGCTGCTTTTACAGTCCGTATAAGTGATGTGTAATGACAATCTCTACCAACTTATGTTCACTGTTCAGTAATTAGCTCTTTTGGCCTGACAAAGTCAACTCTGTACCTTAATTATATATATTTTTTAAATAGAAATGATACCTTGTGAGGTTCATGTATTTTTTTAAGATTTATTTATGCATACAAGAACTGGGGTACAGGCCACAGGTGCAGAGGGTAAGAGGATTCACCAGAGACCGAGAGGGGAGCAACACAGGAAGGTCAACCGAAATGCACTGCTGAGGGGAGCAGCAGGCGGTTTAGGAGAGGTCTTCTGTGCTGTGTGGGTCAGCCCCTTAGAAAGGGATTGAACTTGTGCTGCAGTGGCTGTGGATAGTCTCATAATGCTGTGCTTTAAGCCGTTGCACCATCAGGAAGGGCCCTGTGAGGTTGATGTGTTATATAATGAATGTAAAATACTCCTCACATGAGGAGACAGTACAGGATAGCCAGAGCATAGAGTTAGCAAAAGCTATGAAGGCCCTGGAGTCCCAGTGGATACAAGAAGCAGTCACAAGAAAAATGATCACTTAAGTAAATATTACATTATTATTTGAAAATAGACTTTTCTCATGAAAGTGACCCTGCTATAATGATACACAGAATGGATAGTTCATCTTAGGAGCACTTGTAGAGACCCCAGATTTCCTGTTTGCTTTCATTTTCACCCTGGATGTTTAAGCACAACATGCACATTAATACTAGGTTGTGATAAGTTATAGTGAGGATTTCGATCTAGAGGACCAAAGTGGACGGTTTTGCACCAGACCAGGGCTCCATTACATCAGGAAGAAATGGCAATGGCTGCTGTGCATTCTCCCTGAGGTCTCAGCTAAGGCAGCACCTATGGGCTGCAAGCTTGGGCACCAGCTGCTGCTGGCAGCAGCTATTCATTTGTCTTCCTCAAAGTCAACCTGGTAGACTGCGGAGCGGGGGAGAAGCAGCCAAGGAATCAGATCCTCAAACTTAAAATCACACCTAATGGAGACTAGGTTAGTAATCAGCATTTTGTCCTTGACTTCTTCAAACCAACTCATTTATCCCCTACTAGCTCACCTCACTTGACTGCCTAACCTAATGATTCCCTAGTCAATCCAAGCCAAACTGGGACATATACAGAGAAACTACCCTAAACCGAGTTGTGTGTCACTATTTTTATGAGTCATTCTTTTATATAGAAACGTGTTCTTCCCCCTACATGATTATGGTGTTCTTTATTTAGAACTTGTCATCTTTTTATTCCCTCATGTTTCTTGAATCAGGATTGAGCTTGGCTGTGAGTAACAAAAACCCAAAATACTGCATTTCATGTAACAAGACTTGTCACATTTGAACTCTGAAATCGGAATGTGTCATATAATTGGATGGGTTACCCATTTAATTGGCAGTGGTTTCTTTTTCTTAATGATGTACAAAATAATGCTGTCTTACACTCAATGAGAACGTGGATAAAAATGGTAGCAGTGGCTCAAGCAACAGTTTATTGCTCTTACCTATAAAACATGAGAATAGTCTGCTACTCGTGAAGAGCTGCTTTAAGACGGGCCTCTATGGTGGCCTAGGAGTTAAGTCTTAGTGTTATCACCAGCACATCATGAATTTGATCCCTGGCCAGGGAGCTGACCCACCAGTAGCATAGACCTCTTCTGTCTCTCCCACTGCTCCCCTCAGCACTGTATTTGAGTAGATCTACCTGTTCTGCCCCCCACTCTGTCTCTAGTGAATCCTCTCACTCCTGCCCCACTTGCACCTTTGACCTGCACCCAGTTCTATACAAAAAGTAAAAAGGTAATCATAGTCTGAAGCTCTATCTTGTTCCACCACTCATTGTACAAGATGGCTCTTGAGGGCTCACCCACCATGTCTACGTCATGGTGTCCAGCCATCACTGAAGAAAGAGTAAAAAGGGCATTCTTCCTCCTATTATTGACCCTTTCAATAAGATATACGCAATAGGCCTCCCTAGTGGTACAAAGGGTTAAGTCTCAGCACTATGAAGCTATCAGCAGCCACTGCAATACTGGGCAGGGAGGTGACCCACACAGCACAGCAGACCTCTCCTGTGTGGCCCACTCTCCCCTCAGCAGTGTATTTCAGTCAATGTGCCTGTTCTGCTCCCCTCTCTGTCTCTGGCAACTCCTCTCATATCCCCCACACCTCTGGCCTACACCTTAGTACTACTATGCATAAATTAATAAAAATAAACCTCAATAAACTATACGCACTGTTTTCAATTACAGCTTATAGTCCAGAATGAGTTGCAGCAGCATATCTAGCTGCAAAAGAGAAATACCTTTATTCTGGGCATAATCTAAAAAGGATTGTATTAGTAAGGAAGGAGAGAACAGATAATGTACAACACCAGAAGTCTGGGCCACCCTTCTTCACTTGGCCCATAAAAACAGTCTTTCACGGAGCTGAAGTAATAGAGAGGTGATTCCAGGACCATTGCCTCAGGTTACAGCAATGCCTCAGGCTGGATCTGTTGTCCTCTTGGTGCTCTTCCAAGCAGGAAGAATCTGTAGAGGGCAGCACAGGTTTACTGAGGCCTCGGGGGGAACAAATGCTAATACAAGTCATAAGTAAAAGTAGAGAGCAATCTGGTGAGGTAAAGGGAGCACCGTATTAGACTAGGACTGGCACGTTCTAATTATAACTCTGCCTTAATCAGCTGTAAGTTCTTATAAATCCCCTTTTCTAAGTCTCAGGTGTTTCAACCATGAAATGAGTTAGAGTCTAGAAAACTGAAAACTAAGTAGGACGATCCTAGAACATCATGGAATTTGGGGGCTGGACCATCAGCTTTGCAGACCATTTGCAGGATCCCTGCTGCAGATGTCAGGAAGGTATAGCCCCTGAACTCTGACTGGGTTCCTATATTGAAGGAGAGGGGGGTGATGGCAGATATTTTTTTGAAATGGGTTCCATCGCGACAAAAAGTTTGAAAGTCAATGATATTTAAATTCTCAGAGCAGAAGAAATTGAGGTGTGGAAGGAGCATAACTGTACATCTCTAACCAGAGGTAGGACCTGAACCCCGTTTTCCTGATTCTTGGTCTTTTCCTTTCCACCCTCCCACATTGCTCGCGCTGAGGTGGCCAGTCCAGCCTTTGCCTGAGCCTTTGCTCAGAATCCCACAGAGCAACCCCCACCACGTGTGCTTTGTCACCCCACCACCGTCTGGACTACTCTCCAGTGGAAACCTGGTTCTTCCTAGCTTGTGGAATGGTGTCTAACCATCCCTTCTCAAGCTGCATGAAATAAACCTAATCTCTTCCACCAGTACCTGGAGACCATATCAACTTCTCTCACCCCCACCTCCCCCAGGTCTCCCATGATGACGTGGATTCCAGGCCTGTCCCATATACATTTTCCTGTCCAGACGTCATTCCAGTTAACCAGACTGCACCACGCGTTGCTTAGTCACTGGCATGGGATTCTTTTCATTTCAGACACTTATTTTAAATACAGCTTAAGGTCCTCCCTGGAGGGGCAGCAGGTGAGGACGCAGCACTGCAAGGTGGCCGCAGCCACTTCAGTGTGAGTTTGATCTCCGGCCCCAGAGGTGACCCACATGGCGTGGCAGACCCCTCCTGGCCCGCCTGCTGCTCCCCTCAGCAGTGCAACTTCGCCAATCTGTTCGTAAATCTGCCTACTTTGCTCCCCACTCTGTCTTTGGTGAATCCTCTCAGTGCCTCTGCACCTCTAGCCTGTACCCCAGTGTTGTATTCATAAATAAATAAGTCTTTTTTTTTTATTTTTTTAAAGATTTATTTATTCATACAGAACTGGGGTACAGGCCAGAGATGCGGAGGGTGGGAGGATTCACCAGAGACAGAACAGGCAGATCGACGAAGTACACTGCTGAGGGGAGCAGCGGGCGGGTCAGGGGAGGTCTGCCACACCATGTGGTCACCTCTGGGGCAGGCGGGGATGGAACTCATGCGGAAGTGGCTTAAGCTTCTTAGTGCAGTGCTTTAACCCGCTGCGCCACCAGGGAGGGCCCAATAAATAAGTCTTTTTAAAAAATAAATAAGTACAGCCTAAAATTACACTACTGTTGGGTTGTTGGAAAAGTTATGCATATTTTTATTTTTTTTACGCGAAGATACATGACTTTTCTGATAATTCAATACATAATGGTATTTTCTTTAGTGACAGCCTTTTCCCCATAGTTGCCATCAAGCCCAGTAGTCTCTATAACCTGTCTGGATCCCTGAGTTTTTAGATCTAAAAATAGCTCCACATTTCCCCTTTAGCA